ATTTTTAACAGAATGCCCATGGCGGCTCTGGGTTTACGCTCAATTGCATTTTTCAGGGTACATTTTCAGCTGCATCATCTTCATTTCACATTGAGATTTTATCATGTAAGGAGTGTTATTAATTCATAGTCTTTAAAGAAGGAGTAGGAATGCAGCTATTTTATGGTGGAACTTTGAAAAACCGTATTTCAGTACAGATGTTTACCATGGAACTTGCTTGTAGTCAGTGAATGTGTGTTGTTATGTTGTTTCCCTTCAGTCTAAATTTCTCTGATCCAGTCTGTCCCTGATCATGCCACAAGGCAGGAAGTGTTGCACCATCAGGACTCCAATGAGACACAGTCACCTGATCCTGATATTTGCCCGTGTAGATGGAGGGATAATTATTTCCGAACCACTGCTGAGATGGGGAAAGTTGGGGTTCAGTTTGGCTCAACTGGATGCCCCCACCATTGTGTTTGCCGGCAACGCCTTTCATCCCTCAGCCATCGAGGGAGGGAGCAACGTCAGTCTGTTGAACCCGAAATGGCAGAGCATTGCCGCACTTGAGAGACGAACAAATCTATAGTGGCACAAACATTTGTGGAACCAAGTCTAAGTCATCAGATGACTGAAATTTTGTCTTGTGTGGATGGGTTTTAGTCTTATTTGGTCGTTCAGAAAGAGGTTGAAATCGGTGCGTGTGGAGGAGCATGTGTGTTCTGGCTCCCAGGAAGCCTCTCCATGGGTGAGAGGTGGCTCCTCTTCAGACAGATGTGCAGGGCAGCAGATGTGATGAGGGAAAGGGGCTGGGCTAAACTGCCACTTTTCCTCTTGCACTCATTCCAGTCCCTTTCTAAATAGGCCTTTGCATGAGCAGAAGGAAGGGTGCAGAGCCCCTTTCAGCCGGGAGGTCAAATCCCATTCCCAGTTGACACGGGCTACATTCCAGTGTTCATGGAATCATGGAAGAGTAGAGTTGGAAGGGGCCAAGAAGGCCATCAGGTCCAACCCCCTGCTGGTACAGGTTACCAATTTACACCATCCCATTCAGATGGCTGTCTCTCTAGTGCGGGATAGCCCACCACCTCTACAGGCAGCTGGTTCCACTGTTGGGTGAAGCCAGAGACCCAAAAGATACTCGCATGTATTAGCTTGTAGCTCTCACTACAGGTAACTAAGCCGTAAACATCTGCATGTCCAGCAAGCATTTTGTCCTTGAATGCAGGGGAAGATGTAGGAAAATGGAAAACCGCAAAAGGCTTGGCGGTTGGGAAAGGATGTGATCTCTTCTGGGGACCCAGACATAGACAGTAATAACTATCTTAAAATTGTGGTGTATGTCCCGTAGTTACCCTGACCGTTCAAAGTTGTGTTGATACACATCGTGGCATTGAGATGTTAGTGCTTGTGGTATGAGACATACCTGCAAGCTCAATTCAAGCCTCAGGTGATAAAAGTGAACTTCTTGATAAGTGTTAATTTTGCAGTTTAACTTAGACTGTCTCCTTTCTGAAGAAATGAACTAAATGCAAGTGTGGGCAACCTGGTGTCCTTCAGGAGTTTTGGACTACAATACCCATAAGCATGCCAGATGACTGGGAGTTATGGGAATTGCAGTTCAGAATATTTGAAAAGCGCTAGGTTGCCTACTCCTGAATTAAAATTTAGTGAGGCCTTTCTGCAGCCCTGTTTGTGTGCCTATTTATCTGTTAGTCCAGTGGAGATCAATGGCATTTCAGCCTTAGGTTTGGCATGCAATAATGATAATTCCTATTTTTCATCTTACAATAATTCCCCTTGTATGTGCTTATAGTAATTTCGTAATATAATTTGTGCTTCAGGAAAAAAAATAATTCAGAATTCTTTTCTGAGGTAAACAAATGGTGCACAAGGAAAAATGATGCCTTTCTCGTAGAGATTTTGTAATGGATATCAGGTGCTTGGCATCTCTGCATAATTTTCATTCTGCGTAATAGCCCTGTCAGACACTTTAAACTTCCCCCTTGATCATTTGAATTCTTACTCAGCTATCCCTCTGGTTTCTGGGATTAGCTATGTATCTGCAGCCATAAGGGCTACATTCTAGCTTTTTAAAAATGAAAGCCAAGCTTCTCAATGGAATCCTATGCCTAACACTGCATTCCATGTTTTTTCTTGTATGGAACAGCTATTTCTTCCAACCACACACAGAATCACACAAACTCCTTCTTGTTGGCAGAAATTGGTCAGGGCACTGTACTGAAAATTTATGTCTTGGTTCCTCACATCTCCTTCATAAATCAGTCTCTCCTATGTACTTGCAGAAAAATATGTATATATAAATCAATTCAGGAAACCTGTCTCCTTACTGCACCTATACCAGTCTTCGCCTTTCAGACATTTTTGTACCAAGTCAAAATGCCCCTTCATGACTCGCTGATTTTATCCGCTTTGTGAATAGTCCCACCCTAAGCAGCTGTAAAAGAGGAGTGGGAAAAACTCTGTGGTGGTGCAGCAGAGCTGGGCATTTAAAAAACCCTAATAATAACAAGGTCAGATTTCCAGGTGCCCTACTTTATCAGGGACAGGTTTTTGTTTTGGATTGTTGGCAGAGAACAGCCCTCTACCTGAAGGTCACCTGGTGGAACGGCTGTCCAGGTTAAACATAAGGAACCATAAGAAGGTGAATGGGGAGTGTTCTTGAAGTTGCCCATCAACATTGAGCACCTGGTCATCAGACTGAGCTCACCTGGCTCTCTTCTCCAGAATGCTGAAATGCATCTTTATTTAAATTATCAATGCTGCTTCTAAATTTGCACCTGTGCATTTAAATTGGCACATGCATATGTTCTAGAAATTGGTGTCCTCTCTTTTGCAGTGAGTTAGTGGCCACCCTAGATTGAAGGCAGAAAAATGGTACCCCACCTATGGAATCTGCTCCTTGAAAATACTGTTTGCCCCAAGTTGTAATCTTTGATACTTTAGTCAGCACAGCCATGTTGTGCCTTGCATTATGGTGGTACTGGGCCCACTTCCCCAAAAATAGAGCGTTCCAAGGTTCTTACCACAATCTGAATCAGAACGAGAACATGCAGGGCTAGAATTCTTCGCTGAAATGCCAAGGACAGCATTCTCCAAGATAAGCCAGGCAGATCCAGAAAGGGATGGATGTGATTCATCAGTCCTACTGTCACATCAGAGCCAAAGAACAGACTAGTTGAGTAGCCGCCATTGTTCCCCCAGTCTGGCCCACAAGCAGTGGGAACCACTCTGGAGGTGGAGTTACCTCCTATTATTTGGGAAGGGGAGAGAAGGATTCAGTTTGGAATCAGCTTTTCAGCCTGCGCCTTCTTTTGCTAATAGGTGGTATTCGAACTTTGCTGGTGCCTTTTGTTAATGACTTCTGCAATACTCCTTTTGTAGCACAAAGTCAGTGTAACTGGCCAGTATTGACAAAAGAAAGACTGTAGTTAGAAGCCTCTTGACCTGGTCTGCTTGGAAGGAGAGGGAGAGAGGGAAGGACTAGCCTCCAACACATTACTAGTGCCATATATTTCTTTGGAAATGCATTTTAGGACACAGTTATTATAGCATTTTAGCTTTCAATGCTTCAGGAACATGGCCCTTGTAGCAACATAGGCCTACTAGCATATATCTATTTGCTTTCAGCCCAAATGTTTAGCGTATCTGTCTCAGGGGACAGAAGGAGGCGAATTGTTGTAGGAATAAGCCATCAAGTATCAAAGAATGAGAGAGAAGGCAAGTGGTGAATGGAGCAGCGTGCCAGGAACCACTGACCACTGTCACATGCAATGAGCCATGCAGTAGCAACCTCCTAGAGAACTTTCTAGTTCTGAACTGACTTTGTCTGCTTAGGCTGGCCTCTGACTCCTGTTTCACTGGTGCTTTGCATGGACTACAAGGTTTTTCTGAGTGCTTTCTGATCCTCTGTCCTGATTCATCCTGATCACGTTTCTGATCCTGATCATGTGTTTCTGATCCTGCCTCCTGGTTCATCCCCTGCTCCTCATTGTTCTTCAGCACTGGTTTCTGGGTACAGCCCAAACCTGACACAGTGCAAGACTGTTGTGTTATCATTAGTACTTTTGAAGATGATCACTGAAACAATTGTGTGTACATTTTAAGCTTCCATGTAATTGTTAGGGTGTGTGGCACCCTAACTGAGCTTACTGCTAACTGTTCGTGCCCCTTCGTATATATACCCATAGACTGGTGAGGTGGATTCTAATCCATAAAACTCCATGTTATGACAAGTTCCTTAACTTGTCAAGGTGTCACAACTCACACAAGAAATGAGCAGGGTCAGGGATTTTTTTAAAGCTGCTTTATGATATTCCACACCCCATGTGACTTCCTCAGTGGCAGCTGTGTGATGAGAATGTGCTGTGGTCAGGTAAATCAGAACTAGCAGCCTAAAGCAAAAGAACTGGCTTAGGTAGTTCAAATCAGTGTGTCCTTCATTGTGCTTTAGGATTTTTGCTCACAATAATGCAGCCATAGCAGCAGACTTCTCCCTTTTGTGCGGTTTCTTAAAAACAATGGAGGTCTCTCAAAGTCTACATATGGCAACTAGATTTATGGTCCTTGTTTCCATATCTTTCCATCTGCAGATGTTCTTCAGCTTCAGTTCTTCTTCAGGTATATTTTCCTCCTTTCTCGCCCGTCCTTCTTATTCTTGTTTCTCACTGCTTCAGCCAGCCTTGCCCTTCCCTTCATCTCTCTGCATTGTGCACATTAGGTGCATATTCTCCTTGGAACCAGCACCAACCTTCCTTGCCCCAGGGAGCTTCCTCCCCGATAATGCCTTGGTGAAGTTGTAATTCCAGCCAAAGTGACAACTTCCCCTTCTCAAAGAGGAAGGGGAAGTTGCTTGAAGGGTGGAATTTCCATGAACTAACTGGAGTTGGAGCGTTGCCGCCACAAGCTCAATGCAATTCTGATGCAATACTCTATTCCCAGCCATTTTATATGCCCACGGACTCATATTAATATATTTCCTATAAACATTTCTTCACCAGGATTGAGGGGAAATACATCACCAGATACTGGAAAGAAGTCAAGGTTGGAGACTTCATTCAGCTCCGCTGTAATGAAATCATACCTGCGGATATACTGCTGCTTTCCTCGAGTGACCCTGACGGCCTGTGCCACATCGAAACTGCTAATCTGGATGGAGAGACCAACTTGAAACAGAGACAAGTGGTGAGAGGATTTTTAGAGCTGGTAAGTTAGTATGTTTCTCTTCTTTGCTTTTTTTCAAGGCACATGGAGTGTTATGCAACTGAAAGAGCATCAGTTTATTCTAGCAAGTTGAATCCTTCAGATTCATAATTTCCAGGATATCTTTAGTGACACCCAAGACTGATGGCAGTGACAGGCTGACACATATACCAGAACTAGACAACCTGCTGCCTGACAGATATTTTGGACTACAACTCCCATCAGCCCTAGACATCTTGATCAAGGAAGAGGAATTATAGGAGTTGTATCCACAACATCTGGAGAGCCCCACACACTGGGGCAGAGATGAACTGTTACTATGCCAGCCCAACAGTCATCAAGTCCTAACCATGCTGAGCCCAAGACAGGAGGGCAACCACAGTATTTGTGTGCTAAGGAACCAGAACAAAAATGGTGCTGCCAATGGCCACCAATGGGGTGGTAGTCCAACTTGCTGCCCACCTGCAGGGGAAGCAGAGCGTCAATCCAGGCACTCTTAAAATATTGAAGCCATCCAAGTTCTGAGCTTTATGACTCCCCAATATGTGCCATGCAGCCCTCTGCCCGCTCACTCAGAAATAGCTCCCACCGAGTTAAATAGGGTTCACGCTCAAGTAATTGGTTACAGGATTATGGCCCTAATTGTCCCGCACTGGTCTAAGAGACCCAGGAAAGATTTTCCTTTAGACCAGCATTCCCAAGCTTTTCAAGCAAAGACACACTTTCCCCAAAAATGTAAATGGAAGCAGCACCTTTCCTTTTCCATCAGATGGGACTTGGTTTTTGCAGCAGGGGTGGGAATCTCTGCTATCTGGATGTTGCTGGACTCCATTTTCCATCACCCCTGAACATTTGCCATGCTGGCTGGTGCTGATGAATCCTGTAGCCCAGCAACAACTGCAAACTTGCAGTTTGCCCGTGCCTGTTTTAGAACATGCACGAACTACCTGCTGTCAGCAGGACAGGCATCATAGCAAGCTCCCTGATTGGGAAGAAGCAAGCTGAGGGCATTGACTCATGCTGGGATGCAGTGGGCTGCCTGCTCTGTGCATGGATGCTTTGAATTTGCAGGACCCTTTCCTTTTTCCAATTGGTCTCTCATACCAAGGTAGCTGTTTTCTGCTAGATTAGTCTAATCTGTCTAAAATGACTGATTAGACTAGTCTCCTCCAACCTGGTACCATCTGGCTGGTTTTGAATGGCAGCTCATACGATGTATGACCTTTGGATGGTCCATGTTGGAGTCCAACACGTGTAGAGTTTGCCAGAGTGAGGAAGGTGGGGCGATGGTCAGGAATGTGGTTTCTAAAGAAAACAAAAGAATATTTAGCACAGTGTCCTTTTCTCTTTGCAGCAATCATGTTTGGTCATATGTTTTGTCAAAATGGACAGTGTTATTTTTAGAATAATTCTTTTTAAAAGCAGCAGCACTTTGTTACAAAGATATATTTATTTCAATAGCCCAAGTGCTTAGGAAATGGTAACCATTAACTGTTTTATGTGATGTTTTTATGAAAGAAAAGATGATTCCATAACCCGGTTACTAAGTAGGGCTTGAAGAGCCTAGAGAGTACAAATCTGACAATATATATTTGGGGAAACAGTTTCCAACCTTGAAAGGGGTTAGAATTACATTAAAACAGCCAGTTTGTTCCAGTTAATTTGAAAGGGTTAAATCTAAAATATTGTAACCTTGGATTGTAGAGTGGGATGACTGATCTTAAACGTACTTGACATTAATAAATAATATGGTTAGGGGAATGAGGAATTAATTAATTAGTCATTTTAAAAACAAGCTACTATAAATACTATCTGTGCCAATACCAGATTGCGCTCTCATCAATAAAACAATGTCTGGTCGTTTGGTAGTTACTGGGCAAATGCTAACTGAAAGAAAATTACTGAAGATAAAAACCAACCATGTATTACTGATGATTTATGACAGTATAAATATGAGTGATGAAAAATAAAGCTCTGGTGATTGTGTATGTGTGCTTGGAAAGAAACCTTTGGAGAAGGAAACCAACTGGCTATAAAGCAGCCCCTCTTGAAAAGAACCTGGCACACCAGGGGGCATTTTTCCTCCCCCAGTCAGAAATCTGTCATGGTGGCATAGTTTCTGGGGCTCTTTCCTCTCCCTTGGGGATGGAGCAAAGCCAGGCAGCCTCGGTCTACAGCAGTCTGACACCGAGTACCGATGTCACTTCATTCATCATTCACACCCTTCATCAATCACATGATTCATTTTCTTCAGAAGAACGTCTTCCCTCAGAGTGGGCATTTTCAAACGCCAACCAATTTGTCTGCTGATTTTTGAAATGTAATACTGTACTGAGAGTTTCTACTATAGAATGGTATATAAAGACTTTAAAAAGATAAATAAATAAATGCCAAGTCCTAAGGTCAACAGGCTAGAAAACCCATCACCAGATGATCAGCACCATTAGGCAGTTTAGATTATGATACAGCCATAAATACACATCTTACATTTTGCATCCCAAATTTTGCATCAGTATCCTTCAGATGAGCTGGACCACAACTACTAGCATCCTGTAGCTTGCTGGGTGATACTGGGAGCTATACTATCACCCAATGCATCAGGAGGACTTTGAGTTGGAGAAGGCTGTCCTAGCTATTAAAAGACAAAAAGGGAACAGGTCTAGCAGACAATAGCTTTTGTTCACCCTTTTCCAAATCACCAAAGACATAACTTGTACACTGAAGCTGAGATTAGATTTGATTCTCAGGTCCCTTGTCCCTTATCTGCAAGGAGAAGAGAGGAGAGGAGAGAGCTGTAACAGCAGGTGTTCTGTTTTCTTACTTAGACCCCAAGTCTCCTTATGTATAAGTGCATTTTGGGTGACTCCTTATCCTTTGTCAATTATCTGGTAGTCTTCTTTAATTCTCCAGGGCCAAGCTGCCTCCAGTTCATTCTTAGTGCATTATCATTGCACCCTTCCTTTCTTCCTCTTGTAAGAAGTTCCAGGCAGCTGACAAGGTTCTCCTCTACTTTGTTTACTGGGGAGAGGGGGGGTCACCATCATCCATCTCCTCACTGTGCAGTCACTCTTGCTTGCTCGCTCTCGCTCTCTTGCTCTCTCTCACACACACACACACACACCAATTCTTCATGTGTGGAACTTTCCCCTTGTAAATATTTGATTGGCTTTTTCTCTGGCACAATTTAAGAAGTGATTAATAAATTTGCTCTTGCCCTTCCTTCTTTATGCACTACCTGACATTTGTTTCTCCCTATAACTACTGGAGTAGCCCATTACTCAGTGCCAAAAAACAAAAACCAAAAAAGAAAAAGAACCCAAAAGAGGAAATCAATGACCAAATAAGACCGCAAAAATTACCCAGTTTGCCTAACGTTGCATATACTAATCTTGGAACTCACCAAAATTGATGGGCAGTCACAGAAGCTAAACTAGAGGGTCATGACATCGTCTAAAAACCCATGAACAACTGTGAGAGAGAGTGATGAGTGAATGATAAATGCCTCCTGTAGAATGTTCTTCATTACATCTCACATAGATGCTATGTGGGCTTTTCCTTTTGGAAATTTCAGCTGGTCCAAAATCTGTCTTACCAAGAACGCTTTGCAGCTGCAAGGAGTCACCAAGCAAAAAAATCAGAAAGTAAAGAACCAAAATCAACCCAGTCCCCCAAAAGTCAGGCTAATCAGCATTTATTTCTTTGCTGTAAAAACAATTACAGTGGTACCTTGGCTCACAAACTTTATCCGTTCCAGGACTCTGGTCATGACCCAAACTGGTCATGAGCCCAGTCAAATTTTCCCATAAGGTTCAATGTAAATAAGGTTAATCCGTTGTGTAACAATTTTTTTTTAATCACAAACATTTGAAGCAAAGTGACAAGGAACAACAAAGATCGCGGCCATCTCCCCTCCCCGCCCCCCGCAGCATGACCACGATCGCACCCGTGTTCCCTGCACGAGCATGACTGCGATCATGGCCATAGACAGGCACTGGGGGTAGAGATGGGCGTGATCGCAGGCACTCGGCGGGGGGGGGGGAGACGGGTGCGATCACAATTGTCACCCAATGCGGAGTTTGCGACCTGAGGCAAAATTTTTCAGACATTTCTGTTTGCAACCCGATTTGGTCGTAACTGAGGCATTCGTGAGCCAAGGTACCTCTGTGCTGGGTTTACTTGAAGATTCATTCTTTTCAGCCATAACTGGTAAATAGACCAAAAATAGACTAGCTTCCCTAACCTGTTCCTTCCAGATACTTTAGACCACAACTTTCATCAGTCCTAGACAGCACAGTCCATGACTGGAAATGATGAGATTTCAAAATTCTTTTATAGTTTTCTTTTATAGCGTTGTGTTCTTTTTTTGTCTAGCCTGCCCTTGATTTTGTTGATTTCTTTGTGGAATCCTGGGGACTCAGTTGTTACACTCCATTGCTGAGTTGCTAATAAATATAGAAGCATATGCGCTGTCTGTAATTACTTGTCCCGTGTTGATAGTCAAGCAGTGAAAGAAGCCGCTGATGCCATCCATGCACTGCTTTAATTTCATAAACTGTAGTGCCAGAGCTCCAGGCTCTGAAGCAATCCCCTTTTAATGTATAAATATTATCTACCACTTTGTCCTGAGGCTCATTCAAGCAAATAAAAGATTGCTCAGGCAAAGCATTTCGGGTGGCCCAGGGCATGGGGTGAAGGGAACTAATGTACATAATTGCAGGTTAAAGAATTGACTGTAGTCCAGTCAATATTAGAGAGATTGTTGCTGGATAGCTGAGCATATGCACATGGTGGGCATGTCGTGAGCGGAGCCGGCTGGAGCCGGGGGTCAGACTAGATGGCCCAGGAGACCCCTTCTGACTCATTCTGTTTCTATGCTTCTATGTTATATGAATCGTTCCCTTTGCCTTGCCAAGAATTTTTTTGGGCAAACAAAGGCAACGAACCAGCACCAATAACTGTTGCTCTATTAACAAGCGGCCCTTTTTCAATGTATTTACAAAAGA